GTTTGGATCGTACCGACATCTCTTTTCTAAGTTTGGCCATCTCTTTGTCCTTTCAATTTGAGTTCTTAAATTCATCAATCAATCCTTTTATTTATGTGATAGGCCTGCATTTAAAATGAACATTTACCATAAATTAAAGGTATCTTATATTATTAGATATATTATTATAAAACATGCTTTAGTTAAGGAGTTATTGATATTTAAAGTGCAAAATGATAACATAAAACCTTGATAAAAATGCACTTTTAAGTATTAATCAATGTCAGTATAAGGGTTGTCATTGGATAACAACTTGGTGCATTTTGAAGTCTATTTCAATTGCGTGCTAGTGAGAAAACAGAGGGGTTGTTATGATTATGTAAAATGATATACATACGGGCCAATTTGGGCATTGTATGTGAAAGAGATTGAAGGAGTATTCTGATTGCCTAATGGGATAAGAATATATGGATCTATGTTTGTAAATTATAGGCGATATGGTCGTCAGTCAAAGAAAAGGATAAGTGTATTGATGTATGTGAGATCAAATTAAATACAATATTGTTGTATGACGAACAATTAACGATGTGTTATCTTAAACCAAACTAAGTTAAACCAAATATTAACGAATCAATATAGATAATGAAAATTAATGAAGTATTAATTATAATTGTTTGGAATTGTAGGATGAAATTGATATAGTGTTTGATTAGTTAAGATCATGTATGATAGAGAATACATAGGGAAATTCACTTTCAATCTAACTTATGATACAGAGTAAGGTGCATATATAGAATAGGCTTATGCCATTAATAAAACCTTACAATAGATTAAGTTACCAAGATAAATTCTTGAACAAGATGTAACTTTTAGTTAGAAAGATATAATTTGAAGTTACCTTGATGAGGTAATGATACTGTACTCAAGGTTAGTAGAAATTATGGTAAAGATTACAAGTCGATTAATTTACTATTGAAAGAAATTATGGAGGTTTGTTTTATAGAGAACCATGTAGATGTTGTATATAATATATTATAATTGTGTTGTGATAAATATCTTATTTAAATTCATATATTTTATAGGTTCTTGTTCTAGGATATCACCTGTTGAGACATGATATCAATTTTCTAAATTAGAGTACTAGGTAGATTAACATAGTATATTTTACTTTAAATGGATGTGAATTGTAATATGAAGAAATATTTGTGATGTAATGATCTTTTGATGAAAAGTTAAGCTTAAATTATTTAATGTACTTGATAAATTTTAATATGTGTGTACTATTATAACTTGATTTATTGACTTAATGTTTAATATTGAGATTGAGTTGTTACATTGTGAAAATTGAATTTTCATGAGTTATTATGCAGGTATTTAAGAGAAGAGAAGAATCGTTAATGAACCGGACATAAGAGATTTTCCTGAAATTTTAAAAGCACAAGACAAAAGAGTGATTATATGATTGGAGTGTCAATGCATGACAAAAAAAATAATTACCTTGTTTTATTAAAGATTAAAGCTTGTAGTATTATTATGATATTGAGAATTTATAGGGTGTTACATGGTTATTTTTGTTAATTGTAATTAGTTTTCGTTGCTGGTATGTTAAAAAATATAATGCAATATGAGCTTTCAAAATGTTTTATCTTAAATGAGACTTAAAATTTTAAAATTTATTTAATAGTTATTAAACTTGGCTTGAAAATTATTTTAAAACATCATAATTTTTTAAGCATTAAAGATTTGAAAATTATAAGCAAGAAATGGAAGGGTTTTATCAAATTTTCACTAAATCTTCATTCTTTTTGCCAAGCAAAAGAAATATTAAATTCTTAACTTCTTATTTGTCATTCCTCTAATCTTTTTTGTATTTAGTATTGTGGTGTATTATACTTTTTAAAAGTATTTTTTATTTAAAAATATATCAAAATAATTTTTTTTATTTCTAACATCAACATATTAAAATCATCAAAAAATATTAAAAAATTATCAATTTGATTTTTTAAAGTGAAATGCACTTTTAAAACATATTTAAACACTAGAATCTCAATTTCTAAAGACGAAGGTAAGGGTGTAATTTCTTCTAGGTAGATTGAAATCATAAATTCAATTTAGTTCATAAAAATAAAAAATTATTTGATAATAAAATAAAAAATTATTTAATAAAAAAATTAAAATAAAAAAAATCATAAAATAAGAACATAAAACTCTAACCGTAGACTCATATCTTGTATGAAGTGTATATTCATGATGTTTTTTGTAATTGTTTTTTGTTTGAAAATAAATTAAAATATTTTTTTATATATTTTACATTAGCACCTTAAAATCATCACAAGTTATTAAAAAATATTATTTTATTTTTAAAACTAAACATAATTAAAAACACAAAAACAAAGTAGGGTTTGTCACCTTAGAAAAACATCTATCATATCTCAAAAAAATTGAAATACATTCCAAAAAAAGGAAGACACAGGGACAAAACTGTCAAAGTACAAAACCCGAACTGCTACCATATAAGGACAATGGAGGCCGCGATGCATTTCAAACCGTTGGATTTCATTTCGATTTCGAAAGCGAGCGGGTCTCAAAATTCAAATCGCATCGCCATCTCCATCCCGCTCTCACTCCACATTTTCACACCAAGAAAAGACAGAGAGAAAGGAAGGGAAGAGAGATCGCCAGATCGATTAAGAGATTGATCTCTCGAGAGAAGACTGGATCTAGCACCAGAAGTACGCTCGATTCTCTCTCCTCCAGGAAGACAACCAAAAATGTCAGGTCGACACGACAAAGAGAAAGGCGTTAATGTGCAAGTTCTTCTTCGTTGCAGGTAACATTTTTATTTTGGTTTCTTATACTTATTTTATTTGTTATTTCTGCTGAAAAAGTTTATTATTTTTTTCTGGTTGCGATGTGTTAGGCCGTTTAGCGAGGACGAATTGAGGAGCAATGCTCCGCAAGTGGTAACTTGCAATGATTACCAGAGAGAAGTTGCGGTTTCGCAGAATATCGCTGGGAAACATATTGATAGGGTTTTCACTTTTGACAAGGTGAAGTTGGGATTGAATTTGTTTTTTGTTTAAATGTTTAATTTTATTTTTGAAGTTTGGAAAATAACTGTTAGTGGTTTCTACACCTCTTTTTGGTTTTGGTGCTTTTAGGGTTTGATTTTATAAGTGGGTCATTGCGGTTAAGGGATTTTAGTGACAGATTTTACTTCCCGGGTTTGTGATTGTGTTCTTTCTGCGCTGGTAGTTTTGAAGTTTAAATGGCTATGTGAATAATGCCTAGTTGTATGTTGAATTGTTATCTGCTGTGTTATCTATGTTGTTGTTGTGGTTTGCAGAATCTCTTTCTTCTGATATTGAATTTGGTGGGCTGCTTTGATTTCCTTGTTTGTGGCAAGGTCTGATAATTCGTTTAATGTTGGATGTAGGTTTTTGGTCCTTCAGCACAGCAAAGAGATCTTTATGAACAAGCAGTAGTGCCAATTGTTCATGAAGTTCTAGAAGGGTTCAACTGTACCATTTTTGCTTATGGTCAAACAGGTACAGGTAAAACTTACACTATGGAAGGTGAATGCAAAAGATCAAAGGTATAGTATGGGACTATCTAATTTACATGTTGGTTTAATGTTTCAAATTTACTATTATGCAGTTGCCAGTTGATAATTTATTTATGTGATGTAAAATGTGACAGAGTGGGCCTAACGGAGAGCTGCCTCCAGAAGCAGGGGTCATACCTAGGGCTGTTAAACAAATTTTTGATACTCTTGAAAGCCAAAATGCAGAATACAGTGTGAAGGTCACATTCTTAGAACTATACAACGAGGAAATTACTGATTTGCTTGCTCCTGAGGAAATTTCTCGAGTTGCATTGGAGGAGAAGCAAAAGAAGCAGTTGCCTCTCATGGAGGATGGGAAAGGTGGGGTTCTTGTAAGAGGTCTAGAGGAGGAGATAGTAACAAGTGCGAGTGAGATATTCACTCTACTAGAAAGAGGATCTGCGAAGCGGCGAACTGCAGAAACTTTTCTGAACAAGCAATCAAGGTAACGGTTCCTTTTCTTTTCTTATGCTCAAAGGGTGATTATAATGTTCTTGTTGTATAAAGAATCCGTCTTCTTTTTACAGTCGGTCACATTCCCTCTTTTCTATTACAATACATATCAAGGAAGCAACACCTGAGGGTGAAGAACTAATCAAATGTGGCAAGCTGAATTTAGTGGATCTAGCTGGTTCAGAAAATATATCCCGGTCAGGTGCTAGAGAGGTATACAATTTTATTCTG